AGTTGTATGACTACATTTGTACCATGATAAGTATTCTTTTGTGATTTATTTCAGATACTCTGGAAAGTATTTTGGGATACAGTTTCATATATGCCATATAAATAATGCCGTTACATTGTATGCTTTTAATACATCCTGTATGTAGGACATGAAAAGGATAAATTGCAATAAACATTGTATTTAAACTTTCTATTCTGTTGTGTCAACACTCATTTAGAAATAAACTTGCCTTAAGACCTTGCAAACTCTTACACCATCTTGTTTGTTCAAAACATGTATGAATAGAACAGCAGTTCCCCTGGAGCCTTGATGTTTTTGTCAGTGTTTCCTTTGGCAGATGGGCTCGTGAGAACAGAAAGACACTCCCTTATTAAAGACTCTTCTCAAAGCCAAGTAACAAAAGCAGATGAACTCTTTCATAAAATAAAGAACTATTGACTTGCACAGGATAAACAAGAACTGGGCAGCACATCCCTTGCAAAAAACCCCTACAACTTCAGAACCCACAGATAACATCAGAACACATCTGGGATGATGCTCTCCAGGCTTCAGCATGATAAGTCTGTTATGACTGTGGCCCCTTTTTATATTTTTTTACAGTCTGTATCCACTCACTGATAACATTTATTTTTAAGACTGTCACAATGAAACAATCTACATGTCAACTAAATAAGAAGAGGTCATGCTGCAAACATAACAGAGTGTTACTGGTTTGCAATGCTCAGCTGAAGAATATGAGGTTTTTTACTTAACAGTGCTTCCCTGTGCACATGTATTCCATATGAGTTGCCAAGAGGACCTCAAAATCTTGTTGAGATCAGTGCTGAGCCTACAACACAGGATCCTAGGAGTTGGGTACTAATGCTTTTGCAAGAGTCTTTAAATCCTTCTTTTGACATCTGAAGACATGGATGGATAAGCAAATAGGTAAGAACTCCCCTCATTGCTAAGTCTGTAACTCCGTACAGGAAATCCCTGCTCACAGAATGGAGTTGCACATGCTGAGGGTTTCACGCCACTTACATGTTATTTCATTCCCATTCAGAATCCGGGGCTATTTGCATGTGTAAAAGAAGGAATGTTCTTAAGTGACCTAATGAGATAAGGCCCTTCCAGCCCTACCTCAATCATTAGAACACAGAAGAAATACAGGAAAACAAGGTAACAGGAGACCTCTACAACTTAAGGTATGTGAACATTTTCAAGAGAAAAAGGGACCGGGCAGATTAAAGAGAAAATATGTACAAGTGAACATCTATGAGGTTACAATATTTTGTGAAGGTGTGTGGGGTGTCTAGGCATGCTACAACAACCTGACAGTTGCTTCCCATACATAAAACAGTATGGTGATAGGTATAAGCACATACAGGATTACTTTTAAAGTGTCTGGGGCTTTTTTTAGAAAAATAAGGTTAAGGGAGGAGTTATTTTCCTTATATTAACTAAAATAATTATTACAAATCATGCTGACTAAAAAGGTGGGGGCTTTTTTAAAGGAAATTAAAATGATTCATTTACATTCCAAATATTCATACCATTTTTTAAATTTTCTTTTGGAGTTGTTTATTTTGCAAGTGTGGCATGATTCCTCTCCTGCCCTTTGATATTTCCACCTAGGAGCAAAGCAGCTGTAAAAGTATGGGTTTTTTCTTCTAGAGACCTACAGTCCAAAGGCTCTTTTGCCCCTTTTCCTAGTGAAAAGAAGTAACATTTATATATTTATAAAGTTGAATAAAGGACAAATGGATGGTGCAAATTATGCCTTTAGCAAAAAAGAAGCAAGAGTGTTAGTTTTACTTTTAATCCAGTTTTGTGCAGACTCAGATGTTGCTGGCAGATCTTTCCACCTGAAAGAATTCAGCCAGTTATACTTCATGGCCATCTCCCCCAAAATGTCATACAACTAGAATGCATCAGTTTAGTTGCAACTGGCATTGATAAAACAGGAACACTAAAAGTTGGGGCACAAATGTCTGTTGTAATGTTTCTTGTAACTGGTAACCTATTGAAAAAAATCTAAGCTAGAATAAGTTCCTCAGTTATTTGAATACCTTTCTTTTTAGCTATAGCATACAAAAAGGCAAACATTCCTGGGTCACACTTTGTGTTGTGTTTTCCATGCAGTTTATTCTTTTTTGCTAGTATACTTGATCTTCTTCGTTGTCATTCTAACAATTTTCCTGTAGAAGTAATACTAAATTGCACAGTAATTGCAGGCGTGCTACTGCAGAATAAGTTCTATTTCAATGTCTAGTGACTGAAAACAGACTGACCAAAAACTGTACCTCATAATAGCTCGAGAGAATGTTCTAAGTGAGAAATACAGGAAAGCCCATTATGTAAGAAATTATTAAAACCCTGTTTTGCTATATACTTTGTTCATGTGAATGCTAATCAAAATATTTAAGAAAATGATACAAAATCTAGCCTCAAATCAAAAGGCCAAGAATGCTCTGAGGAAAATAAAACCATTCACTGCAAATAATGCCAGTCTGTCAGTCTCTTAAGAGAAGCAAGAGTAAAGTCCTGAGACTAAACCTGCAGTAGGTACTGCTGGGTGGTGCTTAGTTGTGTTTGGAGTGTGGATAGTGAGATTTTCCTACCTGTATTTAACCCAGGGCAAGCAATCCTTAAGTATATAACTTTCCTGAGTCCATACTTACAAATGCTCCATCCTTCTGCTTCTTGGCTAAGGAAGCTTAAATCTACTTTTCCTTCTTCATATTCTTGTCTGAATGGATGCTATCTAGATTGCATTGTATCTGGATGCTGCCCATGTCTCCATAAGCAAAAATGTACTTGTTCTGGCACCTTCCAAACTTCAGCTATTTGTTCATCACTCTGGAACTGTGTTACTTGTAAATGAACTATGGTATTCCAACACTTAATGATCCCTAACTATAAAGATGAATAATATTCCTTCGCAATGACCTTGGATAAACACAGACTTGGTGAATGGCATTTCACTGCAAGGCTACAGAATGATCAATCGTGATTCCCAGCAGTCATGCTATTAGGACTTTTTTCCTTTTGCTGTATTTTACTGTGTTTATGCAGTTCAGCACATAAGCCGAAATCCACTGTAAATACCAGCATTACTTTTTTGTCCATATAATGACAGCAGGTGGACTGAGATGAATCATCATCCTGTAAGCGCAGAGCAGTGGTCAAATGAGATCATTCCTTCTGGATTCACTTCCATGCAGGCAGAAACAGTACTCTGTTTCCACAGCCAGCCTTCCCACTTTCTCCAATCTGCACAGGAGAAAGAAGATAAAAAGCAGGATAAAGTGTTCCTTTTCGCAAGATGCAGGAATGTTACACAGATGGCATAGCTTAAGCCTGCATGACAGAGGCTGCAACACAGGGAACCTGTTCCCTTTAGTGGGTGATCTCCTGGTGAGAAAATCTCAGCGATTTCCTCTTCCCTGAGCTCCCAGGGAAAGCTCCCCAAGGGATTTTGCGCAGGAGATGATCCAGGTTGCGCGGCACACACAGCGAAGCAGTCTCTTCAACCAGTCCCTGAGCTTGGCTCTTCTCACACTGGCTGTGGTATTTGTTTCCATGGGTAGCTGCCGACTTGATTAATCTCATTTCCCCTGGCCTCAGCCTTCCCCTTCCCCGTCCAGCTGAGCAAACACAGGGCAGGCAGACATTTTAAAACGCTTCCTCCTCCAGCCCCTCCAGGGTAGGCCCTGTTCATAAAACAACTGTTCTAACAGCTCTGAGAAATGTGCCTCTACAATTACTTGGATCAAGAAACCTCCACTGGGATCAACTTAAAAGGGCTGACATCTGCGGCCTGGGAACTACCATTCAGCTAATGACCTTATTACTGTGAGATGGAGTAGACTTACTAAAGCTCATGGCACTTGTATCAGGAGGGAAAGTTTGGCATAAGCAGGCCGACATTATACTGCAGTCTAAATGTCTATGTTCAGTCTCTGCCACACATAAGCATGTTAAATGCCACGCGAAAAAGTAAACCTCGATTCCTAAACAGGAATTGATGCTCTGCTGAAAACCACTCAAACACACGGAAGTGGCCTGGCTTTTGCCAGTGCAAATGCAAAGTAATTAACGTAAGAAACACTGACGCTTTTGCCGTGCTTGAGCAGCCTGAGCGGGGCGGGCACATGCCGGCAGCCTGCCTCTGCTCCGCGCAGCTTCCCGCACCCGGGATAACGCGCGCTCTGCTTCTCGAACACCGCCCGCTTCCTGCGGCGCAGACGTTGTAACACACGGTTAACGCCGAGCACTGCTCAGGCCAACCCGGAGCGCTGCGACCGCGGCGCTGACGCCTCACGCCGCCCTCCGCCGCGATGGCGGGAGCGGACACGCGGCGAGACCCCGCCTTTTGCGAGCCCCCGAGCCGCGGCCCGCAGCGCCGTCGGCCTTCGCGTTCCGGCCAAGTCCGGCCCTGCCGCTTACCGTCGCTTCCGGTAAGATGGCGGCGTCCGAGTTGCTGCGGAAGCGGCGCCGGCGGCTCCGGGACCGGGCGGCCGCCCCGGTGGCAGGCGGCTCAGGGCCCCATGGCGGCGGTGGGCGGCAGCGGCGGCCTGCGCGGCCGGAGCCTGCCCGAGCTGCGGGACATGCTGAGGAGGCAGGAGCGGCTGCTGGCCGACCGGTGAGGAGTAGGCGGCCAGGAGCGGGCTAGGCCTGCCGCTCCCTGGTTTAAGCCCTTTCGGGGCTCATGAAGCTCCATGTACCCTCAGGAGCTTCCGGCTGTTGCACTATTTAGAGCAGCAGTTACGTCTTTGAACAAAAGAACCTGTAAAGTTCTCTTTATCGCAGCACAGAGCCTGCAGGTGCTTTGCATCTCACTGCTTTTCAGAAATGTAGCATGTAAATAAGAAACTTAACGTTAGAGTGAAAACCCTGCCATTTTCTAATATTATTCTAATGAGTATATTATTCTAATGAAACAGTTCCGTATCTCAGATTGCAATAGGAGTGTTTCTATCCTGTCAAATTACTATTTTATTTTTTTTTTGTCTTAGGAAATTCATTGGAAGGCTTCCCGACAAGGGTAAGAAGGTCTCCGACTTTGTGGAAAAGCTGAAGCTTGCCATTTCACAGGAAGAAGAAGTAGCAAGGACAGCTGAGCTGTTATCTGCAGTTAGGCTGGAGTTTCAGGTGAAGCAGGATGAGATTAATGCAAACAAACAGCAAGCTGTCCTAAAGGAGGACAGACTAAACCATGAAGATTCCACAGTCTTTAATGAAAACTCTAATACTAAAGAAGTTTCTGAGATTTCTTCCCAGAGGCAGGAGGCAGAATGTGTTGCACACGATGCCACAAATACAGCACTGGAAAATCAAAGGACTTGGAGGAAAAATGAAGAATTAAAGACTGTTACAGAAGATCAGTATCTGCTTTGTGAAGCTGTCTCCAAGTCAGACACAAGCAGTCAGCTGAAAAATGAGCAGATACCGCGTAGCAAATCTGAGGATGGCACAGAAAGTGCAGGTGCTTTGGACAACAGTAAAGATGAGTTGGTTGATGCCTTTCAAAAAGTTACAATTGTAGGTGGGGATGATGGTGAAAAAGTATTGGAAAAAGAGCACAATGTGGCTAAACATAAGGGGAGTATCTTTGGAAGCCTGCACCCCAAGACTCCACATTATATTGAAGTTCTAGAGTCTAGAGCCAAGAACCCAGTCATAAAGAAAAGCAAATTTAAAACAAATGTGTAAGTATTACAGAACGGAAAAATCTTTTGTGACATACTTGACTTGAAACTGGAAATGGCACAGAACGAGCATAGTGGGTTAATTTTCTTGTGGTGATCAAAGAGACTTAAAGTTATTTGACATGCAGAGTTAATATGTTGGCTCTGTTAAGTGCCATGGAATGTCAAGCAGTGGTCTCACTATAGCCTCTTGAAACAATTGTCATGAATCTTCACGGAGTTTCATAGCTTAAGCTACGAAACAAATCATTATCAAAGCTTTCTTGTGGGTCATTTCTAGAACTCATAGAACTTGAACAGCAGGTAGCTTTTGGCTTTAACTGCACCTCTAGAGAAATCGCAATTCACATTGTACTGATAGTGCTTTATAGTTCATGTGACTCCCAAAACATAGCCATCTCATGCTTGCTAATTAACTGCTGTACCTTTTTTTGTTTGTTATGAGGAGTGATCTGTGATATTGTCTCTCCACAGAGAAACCTTTTCAGTTTTGCTGAGTGCTGCTTATTGTTTGTTTGTGGTGGTGTAACGTTTTCAGATTTTTTTTCAACTCTTACAAGTTCAAAATAACAAGTCTTGGAACTGAAGTTATTCAAACTTGTGACCCAAATTTGCAGCATAACTTTTATGTTTCACCTCTTCCAGATTATCAGGAGAGCAGACCGGATCATTGCGTGGTTCCGCATCCAGTCAGTCACCTGGGGCATGTGGCTCTCCAATTACCACTGAAGAAAGACGACTTAGAGATAAGAAGCATTTGAATGAGATCACAGCAGCTCGGCTGCCACCACTTCACCATTCTCCTACTAAGCTGCTATCCATAGAGGAATCCATAGCAATTCAGATACAGCAAAAAGCAGTTTATGAGGTATGAATTCACAATTTTGGTCTGAAAAGTAATTATACAATTGGGATCACTTTTTAAAAAGAAAGCATAAAGGGACCTTTTCATTCTGATGAATTTGATGATGAAATCGAGATGGTCAGACTTTGAGAAAAGGTACTTTTTTTTTTATTTGATTCTTTTAATGATAACAATTAATGTAGGTAATCCCTTCTGAAACTGTTATTCCTGCATTAAGCAAAACCTAATGTTATTCTTCGTGTGTTGATATGCTAACTTCATTGCACTTGCTCCACTTCTGACTAGAAATTAGTTTTTAAAGAGTTCTTGGCCCCTGCGTTAATGAAGGCCTAGCAGTATTTGTTATTCTTAAAATATGCAAGTATCTGTATTTGACTATATTTATGGTGTGCTGGAAGAATCAGAGTTCTGAGGTGCTTCAAATTCTGTTGTAATGGATTTTGAATTTGACTTTCCATGTAGTGCCAAGCTAATGTGTGAATTAGATGCTATTGTAAAAGTGTTTGTTGCTCCTTATTGTTTTAAAAGCACTTGCTAGCTTAGCCATCGTGACACTATAAGAGAGGTAATTTATTTTGAAAAAGGAAACATTTTTGCAGAGGTTGCTGAATGTCAAGCACTGCTATTGCTAAATGGTTACTGTGCACAGCTGCTCTCTTACATGGACTGATTCTGTTCTGTTAAAGCCCACGTTAGTGTATCACAGATGAGGACTGCCACATGAGGAATTTAAACTTGCATCTTCAAATATTAATAGCACAGTCATGTTTAAGTGTGAAGTTAGAGCTGAAATTTCTTTGCTAGTTATGTTTAAGTAAGCCCACTCTGCAATTACTGATATATTATGTCAACTTTATACTTCAGTATACTATTTTTTTTCATGACCAGGATAAAAATGATAATGCTTTTTCTAACTTGTGTCCTTTTTCCTTTCTTTCCTAGGAAATGCAAGCCAAGCTTGCAGCACAGAAGCTTGCAGAGAGATTGAATATAAAAATGCTCAGGTTTGAACCAGAAGGGGTTCTGCAATACAGAGATGGAAGAGATGAAGATTATTCTTCAGCAGAGGACTGAATTCAAGCAGGGATGTCTGTGGATGAGCTACGTAATTGATCTTTATGCAGTACTTCTTAAAACCCAAACCTGGATATTGAGAATGCTTTATCTAGTAGTTGTTTTCTTAAAATGTTAACGTTACAGCGATGGGCAGGTTTCAGTATAAACCTCATAAATGTGTTATTAAGTGATAACCCTGGTGTTATTTGAGGACTCTTTTTTGAGCACTTGGGGCAGTTAATCCTTGTGGAGTGCCCCATAGTTTTCAACTACAGCCAAGTGAACTCTTTAATACACTTTTGCAGGCTGTGATGAGTCACCTACAAGAGAAAGTTCCTTCTGTGCAGAAATGCAGTTGCACAGGGCATTGGCACACATGTTCATAAAGTAAACTAGAGTGTCTGTGAACTGCTCGCACACAGGAAAGCTCTTGTCTTGTATAAATGTGAGATACTTCTTCTGTCTATTGAAGATTATCTTGTTTTTACCGTATGGTGAAAATACATGCCGTACATCTACAGTAAATAAGTGATAGGCTGTAAGTTAGCTTCTTATCACACAAGAGCTTGTTTTTCTCTGCCTGCACCTTAAAATAACACTTTCTGTCCTTATGTTATAAATAGGTAAGAATTTCAAATTATTTTGTAACTCAAATTCTGTTTGGGCTTTAAGGGACTCTGCTGTTTCATTTTTGGTTGTTACTGCAAAGCACGTCAAGACATCAAGTTACTGTGAAGACTGGCCTTTTTATTAAAGGTCTTGGTGGGTTTCCATGTTTTTGCAAACTGCTTTAATATTTTGAATACTATTTTTTCCATAGTTCAAATATGTAAATTAAGAGATCCGTCCTCTGGTGTTCTTCGAGATGATGTTCTGTATGTGTTGAAGTTTTAGCTTTCTTTGAAGATAAAGAAAATATTCTTCCTTACAATAACATTTTCTGCCTTTTAATATGAATTTTGAAAGCCAAGGAACACATACGAGAAGTATTTCACAATGGTACTCCACTGCTGGGTAGGATTTTGCAAGCCTAGCATGAGTTCAGTTCTAAAATACAAACCTCAGAGATGCCATGTATAGCCTGGCAACCTGTTTTCCAAGACACAGCGATAGCTGTGTCTGCAGGGTGGCTCTGTGCACAAAGTTCTCCCTGGATATGTCTGTATTCCTGCAGGAATGGTGTCTCTGGAAAGCAAGGGAGCTCCGCATGTGAGTCCTTCAAAAAGCTGCACATCATCTAGAAATGGGGGATTAAAGTCTCTGCAACTTCTTGAATGCACACAGCACTTTACTAGCAGGCAGTAACTCTCTCCCAGATGCTCCACAGCCTCTCCCAGGCAGTTCCTGTGGCACAGTCCATACCCTGGCAAAGCAGATTGACAGGTGGAACTGCTGCTAAGCCAATATGTGGTGTTTTTTGACCAGCTCATCGGTTGCTTATCTGTGATCCCCCCTATAATCCTATGTAGGAGTACAGCTGTACTCTTCCCTGTCTCAGGTTTCTTGTTCTCATTGTTTATTGCCTTCTCATCACCTGTTTGCTCTTCACTTTTCCTCATAAGACTTACCTCCTGTCAGTAGAGCAGATTCATACTCTGTATCCCTGCCCCACCCATGCCCTTTCATATGACATATCACTGCTTGTGTCTGCATTTAACTTCCACCAAGTATCATGCATCCTCCTGCTATTGCTGTCTTCTCTTGATGTCTGTAACTCCATCTAAATGCCAGCTGTGCACCTGCGTATGTTCTCAGCCACTTCAGTATCTCACAGAGACCTGCATGTCTTCATGTTTTTGCCACAGCTGCCCTCCTGCTGAGGCTTTCTTATTTCATATTTTGTTTTCAGGCTTTGCAAGATTTGCCACTTCTAGGCCTTATATCTTCCTTTTTTACTTCTTACTGCTTTTTCCTGGTTTGTTCCACCCCCTAGTATTTAGTTTTCCTTCCTCTTTTCTGTGCTCCTACTCCATCCTCCCAGCTTCTCACCATCACTTGCCTTTGTCAGCACTATTTTTGGCACATACTCAGTCATTATTCATCCCTCAGCACCTGTGTTGATGACCTGTCTGATCCACAGCTGTATGTATTTCAGCCCTCAGCAGAAAGACTTCCTTCGATGTGTGGGTCTGACTCCATAGGCCAGTGAACAGCTCCTCTCTTGTGGCTGTGGTTCATCTCTCAAATAGTCATTGTTCATGCTACCACCTGCTTGTCCAGCTGGGTCTCATCATCAGTCTTCCCATTATTTTGGTCTGTCGTTCTGCTTAAGGACCAGAGGTCCTTAATTCTGATCCAGAAGACTAGAACTGGCTTTCCCTTGGGTGTTGCATGAAGCACAAGTTACCACTTCCAGACCTGTTTGCATCTCTCCCTCTTACTAACGTCATCACTCTTGTCCCTGTCCTGACTGTGCAGTCACCCCTTTTAAAGTTATTGTGTGTGTTTTCTCTATCTGGCTTTTCTGTGCTGAAGGAATTTACATGAAGTTATAGAGTTAAGAATTTGTTTTCTAGATCACGGAAATCTAGCTCAACATAGGCTTCTGCTCTTTCGTGCTAACTATGCTCTTTCCTTGTGCTTTTAAGGCTTACTTCTGCTCTCTAAGCCTTGTGAAGCAGGGGCAGTTTTCTTGATCTGTATTTTGGTAGCATTCAACATGTTGGAACTTTGCCAGAGTGGATCCACTAAATGGGCAAGCTTCACCCTTAAGGGGAGGTGGGGCAGAATCACTGATACCAGGTGAAGTGCATTATGTATTTGTTCTACAAGTAGCAGCTGTTCAGTACGGTGTTGGAAGAGCCTGTGCTGTGTGAATGCAAAACCAAGCTTAAGGTATGGATTTTAAGTTATTGCCACAGGGTTTGTATTACTTCAAAACTTGTGGCTTTCATGGGGATTGTTGGTCCTGGGTTCTGAGCACAGGTATATACTTTGAATTAAGGTTTTGTGAGGGATAAGAAAGCAAAGAGTTGGGTACAAATAAGAGTCCTCCATGTTAAGGAGGGTGTGCAATCCAGAAGTTTGTAAAGGGTTATAGAACAAGAGGATGAATCATAGAATGGCTTAGTCGTACCAAGTTAAGTTGTTGATCCTCTGTGGTGTTGCTGTTGTGTATTTCACTGTTGTCCATTTCCAGAACATTTCAAAAAGTATGCTGAGAATTGAGGAGCTCGCTCTCTTTTCTAGGAGTTGGGCTGTTAACCCAGTAGAAAACAAAGAATTGGTAATAGGTTTCTGAAACTCCTTTTGTGAATAATGTTTTGACGGTGTAAAGTAGGAAGTCACATTGTGGGGGAAAGTGGAACTTTTTGCTTCAGTGCTCCACAAGGAAAACACTGGAGATGGATTTAGGAAACAACTGCTATATAGTGAAAGAAAACTTTTGGGAAAGCAAATAGATGAGAACAGGTCTGTAAAACCTAAATATGGGTGGTCATACAGGTCTTAAAGATGGCACAGAGGCAGGTCTTAACTGGAGAGCTGCAAATCAGTGCTATAGCATGTGATGCAAGTATCTGCAGCAGCAGCTGTAGTTCCTTGATTATTGTATTGTTAGGAGTACCTCATCCCCAAACTGCACAGAAGAAAGGCACTGTATTAGAGTATCTGTTTACAGCTGTAACACTTCCTGAGGGGCAGAACATGCAATTTGGTTTGCTACCTGTGATGATAATAACATGATCCAGAGGATTTAAGTATTTGGGAAATAGCATTTGAAAGGAGAAAGACCTGAATGCAGCTGTACTTAATTATTTTGTGTGGGACTAAGGGTAGAAAAGATGCATAAAAACTACTTTTTGTAGTTTTTAGTCAAACCTAGCTGATAGGTCAGCAGTTCTGTTTGTAGTTTGGTGGCTTGTGGGCTGCTTCTAAGGGCTATGCAATCAAAATAGAAGTCATTGACAGTAAGCTGCAGGCTCCTGGGTGGAGGAAATGGGGTCTGCAAATTGAGAGAATTTGAAAATCATGGCTCTGTGCTGTGGAATTTCTGAACCTGCCACAGGGATGTAGTATCAGGAGTTGGGGAAAAGAATATCCAGATGCTACAGACTGAGCAATTGAAACTTGCGCATGAAGCCATGGCAAAAGCTGCTCGTGCTCCATGAGCAGCCCCAGGCTGTAGTTTGGGGGTTTCTGCATGGAACTCAGAGATGATTCTTGTATTGCAGACACACCACAAGCTGGCAGCCTTTCACAATCTTAGGAGGAGGTGGGACCTGAATAGCCTCAGTTGTAGGTGGGAATCTGGCCAGCTGGCTGGTTTTGTGCAGCACTACTGTAGAACCAGTTCCCTGGATCCAGGAGGCCAGCTGTAATCGAGTTGTGTGCCCTGCTGGGTTTGCCAGTGAAAATAATCAGTAGTAGGACACTATTCAGAACATTTTTGGCCTAATTTGAGTGGCATCTGGCTCATTATCTGCCTTTAGCAGGTTACTGCCTGCAAAGAGTACCCTTAGGCTGGGGGAACTGCAGCGAATTCTTGGTCTTTATATCAGGAGTGGCATTAAAGGGACAGAGAATTAGACTTCTCTGTTGGAAGAAGCTATGCCCCACCCTATGCACTCTGCTGTAGGAAAAGATGTCTTTATTCTGCTTTGCCAGCCTTGTTTCTTTTTCAGAGTAAGAAGTGTAATTTCTCTGAAGTGTCTTGTAAGGACAGCCCTTTCAGGTCGTGCATGGTGTGGTCTTGTTCCAGGGAGGTGCTAACTGAACTGTATTTTTCCTGAGTTTGTGGTCATCTGTTGTTGCCAGTCCGCTGCTCTTAGGCTGGTTGGTATATGTAGAGATCGCCACTGAGATTTCCTGGTTTCTTTTGTTTGTTTTTAGGTTGTGAACTCCCACGTTTTGGGAGGAGAAGGGAAGTAGAAAAGCTGTGTGAAAACAACATTTGGTTTGCTGTGCTGTTTTTTTTTCTTCTTCAGTAAGCCAATGGCTGTGTTTTATTCTTGTACTTCTGCGGTGCTGTGTCACTGCTGACGTTGTGGCAGGCCAATGTTAGCTGACTGGTCCAAATGTTTTGCACTCACATTGACTTTCTGTGGGATAATAGTGCTTGACTCCATTTGACTCCTTTGTAAATACTCTAATTATTTCTCCATATGTATGCAAAGCTTTGGGGGCCTTTAGTCTCTTGTTTAAAGCAACTGTTTTGATAATTTGGTTATTAACATTTTATTAAATTGGCCCTTGATTTGGTGAAGCATGAAAGCGTGCACTGAACTCTGAGTTTAGTTCCTCTAGGAGCACTTCTGAGCAAGTGCTCTGTTGAACTGGGATATTCGCTCTGTGTTTTGTTTAATCTCTGCGTGCAAGGGAATCTCTGAATAACAGTTGTGAACCAATTACTGAATGTGGGGAGAAGACACAAATGAGCACATTGAAATGTGTGTGGGAAGGAAATTGATTTTCAACTTGCTAGAATCATTGAATAAAGTATTTAACTTTTAATCATCTGCATAGGAGTGGATCTCTTCTCCAGCAGCAAGTAGGGGAGATTTCTTGACAGGGAAATTTGTAAGAAGTGACACCCTCATTGCTTTTCTTTCAGGTTTGATATTGGGGACCATAATAGCATCATGCATGAATTGGCACATCTCAACTGAAGTCATGAGAGAGATAAGTGGGGCCATAATGCTTAATGAACATATTCATATTTCCTGCCTCTATCCACACAGCTGGAATTAATGTAGTTGCTTGTTAGATCAAGGCAGTGATAAAATGTGGCAAGTAGTTGCAGTCCAAGGTTTTGCTGAGTCTCTGAAGCTAAGCGCTTGATAGGAGATACTCTTTGTACACTTCTGAATAGAAATTTCAATTGCAAAATTTCTATCCATGTCTTCTGTTGTTTGGTTTCATTGTTTGGGTGGTGTGTCATGGTTATTTTTGGTTTTGTTTTTCCCCATGGAAAAAAGTTTTCTCA